ACGACAGAATTTATATTTTTAAAAATAAGCACTATTTTAGAAGATTTTTTGCCTCTTACAAAATTTTGATATCGTTTATGGATTTCGAGTAAAATTGGCATTTTTTACACATTAAATAATATAAAATCAGTTTAAGATAATTAGAACAGTCTAGTACGAGGTGCCATATAACAAAGAAACAAATTCATAACAATAATTAAAAGGTTCAGTCTCAAGCGAGGTGTGATCTAATTTTATCTTAGTTTGTTTTTTATTGCAATTTATACTTTTGCTGAACAAACTGATATGTTATTAGATTTGGGTTATTGTGAAGGAAATTGTTGTGCTACTGTTTGAACATGTGCTGAAAGATTTCCTAATCGAAGAATTCTAAATCACAAAACATTTGCTAATGCGGAAAAATGCCTTCGGGAAACAATACGTTTTTTTACCTGTAACATTAAATCCCGGAACTATTCAGCTGGAAGAACAAATTTTGGAAAGGGTCGAAGTAGGAACTGCGGCGGTATGGACCACCCCCACCCTTCCACTTTTAGACCACGCCCCATCGCTTGATCGACCAATCAGAATGCAGCATGCAAATTGGCGGTAGATTCATGGTATATTTAATTGGCCGAGGGGAGCGCGACATTTAAATTGCTAGGAAATTCAAATCTTACGACGCGGTTTCTCGCGGGGAAAGTAACATTAACGGCCGGGCACAAATATAAAGAGGAGTGATTGATTCGGCGGGATCGGAGGGTAGTTTAAAATTAAATAACACGATTTAAAGGTTCGCGTAGTAAGAATCGGTAGAGTGCGCGCCAATGGTAAATTTAAAATTAAATGTAATACTTGTTTAATATTATGCACGGAGACAAATGGCCGGGCATTATTGCTGGTAAATTCAAAATTAAAGGTAAAATTAAAACACATGTGCAGAAACAAATAACAGGGCCTTATTGGAACTAAATTTAAAATTAAATATTATGACTCAAGCGGTTGCACAGAAAGGATTGGCGGGGAAGTTCAAAATTAAAGATCAACAGAAAATAATAATAAAATATGTTTGATAAAACATATGTGCAGAACATACTTATAATTTAACACTTTATTTCCTTTAAAAATCTAAGACAGCAAAACTTATAATTTGATACCTGTAAGAGATTATGAGAGTTAATCCATCATCCGGTATTGCATCCTTCGATTTAAAGCACGTGTTCGACCAATGCTGCATTCAGATTGGTCCGAGATTTAAAATCCATTAAAAAATTTCANTATTTCCTTTGAAAAGCGTAGAGAACCACAGTTTATAACTTTTCAGTGAACACAGAAAACGAATAATGGGAAAGAAAGAATACAACATGAAATTAATGTTATGAGAGATAATGCACAATTATTGGACAAAATTCATTTTAATTTTCGAAGAACTAATACTTGCGTTTAAGAACAAGGAAGTCACTTTGAGCATTTACTGTAATATTATTTCAATGTGATTTTAAAAAATATAAATTTAGGTTTATTTAAAATGTTAACGTTGACTTTCTTACATTATTAGTTGATATTGTTTATTTAAAATATTAATGTAGATTTTTATTTTATTGTTTGATAATACTAATCTAAAAATGTAGTAATTTTTTTTTAATGTGACGTTTTTTCATTATTATTCCCTGCTTTGAGACTGCAGTTGTAAATTATTTTTTACAAATCGGAATATTTGCCCACATGTATAAAAATGTTAATTTTACTCGAAATCCATAAACTATATCAAAATTTTGTAAGAGCAAAAAAATCTTCTAAAATAGTACTTATTTTAAAAAATATAAATTCTGGCATCACTGGCGTACACACAAAAAAAATACGGGATAGCCAGTGGCGCACGGGCACTAGAAAGAGAACATCCTGTACATGTATCATCACCAAATTTTTTATTTACTTTGAACTTATATAAAAAAATAAGTGTACCAAATTTGAAGTTTCTAAGAAAACTAGTTTTCAAATTATTTGAAAAAAACTGGGTTATCTATTCTATATTTAGAAGGCTATATCTCAGTAGGCGTGCACTTTTGTATATAGGTAAGTTAGGCTAAATAGTCTTGTTTTCATCCAAGGAACCT